GGTCATCGGTAGGGGTCGTCATAGGTCGGCGTGGTCGTCTTAGGTCGGCGTGGTCGTCTTAGGTCGGCGTGGTCGTCATAGGTCGGCGCGGTCGTCTTAGGTCGGCGCGGTCGTCTTAGGTCGGCGCGGTCGTCTTAGGTCGGCGTGGTCGTCATAGGTCGGCGCGGTCGTCTTAGGTCGGCGCGGTCGTCTGAGGTAGGCGCAGGCCAACCTCGGGTTCGCCATGCGCTTTCGTAAGTGGCATCGCTCGTACTTGGCGGGAGCGGGCCGGACTTGACACTTACCGAAATTCAAATATGAACATGATCTCGAAGGATTAGGTAGTAGTAAAGGCCTTATTCCTCCTAGAAAAATGAGGAGAATGAAGATAAATGCAAGCACTATACATTTCCACAGAATGACTTGATCGAAACGAATATCGAAAGTTATTGCTGTTCCCATTTCATGATAATTAAGACGGTAACTTATTCCAGTTGTTGGTTAGCTGTTTAATGCTTTTCTGCTATTCGTTTCGATAAAGGCGTGCCGCCAAAATACCAACACATCCACATCTTCATTTTCCTGGTTTTTCTCGGAGGAATAAGGCTATTATTACTGTCTTATCAACGTAAATGGTGTTTCTCGCAAAGACACTTTGCAACTTACCGCAACAGGCCACATCGGCCTCGGCTGCATGTTCTTCAAAGCATGAGGTTGAACAAGTCCAATAAAGGTCAACAACATCCCTGATCTTTATCCATCCAACGGAGGAAAAAAATCAACGTCTTCATCATCATGAGATTCGAAATCAGCGAGCCAAGTACCTAGTAAACAAGTTTTTAGTCAGAAATCTGTCTGGTTTTTATTTGACCTGACCGACAAATCTACTTCACATTCCATCTGTTTCATCGGAGCCTGAACTATGCCTGACTTCCGAAATGTGATACTCCCATTAAAAAGTCACCTTCAGCGCATCACCACCTGCCAGTTGCATCAGATAGTTCTGGGATTGTAAGGTTTCGATCGCTAGTTGTCTCAATGATCCACACAAAACGCGATTCTATTCCACCAGCAAGATGCGTCGGATATGTCACAGGTACCCACGCTGCATCTACGACGTCGCCGCGACCAGCCAGATGCGTCCCTATACCCAACACTGGAAGCGAAAGTGCTGTATCGGCCTGAGAACCGCTGAGAACGCTCGCGCGTGCACTGGTCACATCTCAGACGCATGTCTAACACTGTGGGTGAGTGCTTTAAAGCCGCTCTACTTGGAACGCTCGTGGCAGACCAACTTGACAGAAATTGCGGAAGTCTCAGTACGATGGCAGGCTTAACCTTATCGGAAGGACGCGATCGTCCGTCGGTGTTGTTTTACGCTGTCGTCGCGACACCGCCTGATGTAGCCAGCACAGGCAATCGTGGTCAAAGTGCTCCGGCCTCGCAGTGAACCTGCCCGCCGGCGTTTTGCAATGACACCGCCGCGTGCTGAAGAGTAGTGCGGCACGACGCCGTGCTCACAAAACAGTGAAGACGACCGGCTTAACCGTAACGTGGTAGAAGGACGGACTCGGAATCTCAACAGGTGTTCTAACCGAAGCAGTGGGCCACAGGTTAAAGGATGCATGCATGAGACAAGTGCGCGCTGCGGTGTAGACGTTTGTTGTATGAATGTGTATTCCGTGTGTACAATTAGTGCTTTTGGTTGAGTGGCATCTGTGTTCCCTGACGGTTTATGAGGTGCCGCTGTCCGGAGGCACCGTTGGCTCTTCGCCACGCGTGGTTATACAGGGCGGGGGAGAGGCTTACAACAGCGACGACGAGCCGCGCAGGCGCACCTCCGCGTGGTCCAGACATTCGCACAAGTGTGTAGCAACGACACGCAGCCGAACGACCAGGGCGCTGAAGCAGCCATCTGGCTCGGCCACGTGCGCTGCCGACGATGACACCCGCCGCCGTGCACCACTAGCTGCTGAATCTAGCCCGGACGCCGCAGTGTCATCGCTGTCGTACCTCAAAATCACCATCCGCGGGTCGCCCAGTGAAATACGAGGGCCACTCCAGGGCTGTTTGTTAGAAGGGAGGGAAACCGTCCGGTGATTCTCGCTTCATCTTCGTTTAACGATCACTGGTGCCGAAACGTCAATGCACCACAGGCCGTTAGGCGCCGAACGCAATACTTAGGGGCAACCGGAAAATCGAAATATTCGAACAGATAATGATAAATCCGTTAGCCGAGGCGCATATGACCAACGAGCCGCTTACGTGGAATCATATGCCGAACATGATGTTGAGTTGTAGCCTATGCCAAGCCTATGTATGCAGCAAACCATTAAAGTCCAAAAACCTGAAAAGTGAAGGCGTACACACGATACCTATTCGCCGTGGGGCAGCAGGAATACCAGGCTGTGTTCGTACCGATAACCGACAAACTGATAGTGGCAGATATCTGTTACCAGCCAGCTCATCGCGTAATATTTAGCGATGAGTATGATGATGTATGTGGCAACCTGAAAGGAAATCTTTCGAATTTTAGGGCATTGAAACACCAGATATAATGAAATAAGCCCACTTGTAACTGTTAGTACACTTTTAAGCGAAAAGACTGCTCTAGACACCGCAATTTGTCTGTGTAGTTAATTATACTCCTCAGTACGTTTTTTCTTTATAACCTTATCATGCTTCAACTAACTGACTGAGAGTAAGTTGACGACCGTTATATCAAGAAATCCTGCTCACGAACGTCAGATATGTACGACTCGACAATCATGCTCTTCTTGGCCTCGATCCCCGCATGACCAGTGGAATAACGGGAGTTGAATGACGTCATTATCGTGTCATGGATGCCTCGGTGACTGAAGTGATCCCTCCGAAATAGTCTGCGCATGTTCACGGGAGTGTTCAGATACTTAAGTAAGGGCTGTATGTCTTAAGAGGGTAGGGTTGTGAACTGCACCGAATAATCTTCAAGATGGTTACTTCAGAGTTCAAAATGCCTTACAAATGTGGAGAACTCTCTTCAAGCGGGAAGCCATTACAACACACGCCGATCTTATACGACCTCTTATCCTGTGGCTGTGCTACCGCCGGTGGTGCGAATGAGTGGCGAGCATGGCGAGTCCGTTATCTGCTGCGGTTATTTTTTGCACCAGATGCGCAGTGCTCGACCAGTGCCTACCTACATTCCACTGTGCTGGGTCTGTACCTGTCTAAGAAGCCGGCCGCGCACGGCTCGTAACTACTTTTATTCTGGCGTGCTCGCTCTGTCTACGAGGCCGGCCGCGCTCGGTCCGTTCCAGTGCGCCGGGAACGACAATGATCGGTCCCTTTTTGCCTGCTAAGTCACCGTGAGTGTTGAGCCACGTATGCTGCATTCTTCAGACACTTATGTGCGCTATGTGAACCGTCAAAATGGCATGCGGGTAGAATTATGAATAACCGGACAGGGATGCAAAGCACGATATGCATCTGTTAAGTTTTTCTTTTCCGCCAGAACAACACTAACTGTAGAACTAACGGATCTCTGTGTTTCGTGCGAGTGGCAGTGTGCTCCAAAATTACATCTACTCCACCCCTGAGATGTTCGTTTGATAGTCTGATAGTCTGTTTGGGAATCACGCATACAGCGCAAAGTGGGCAAACAAATGGACACCAATCCAAACAAATACTGGACAATACGGGCGCCTGTGTGAACGTGGTTTATAGCTGGCTGTGTCTTCGCGTCAGACGTCACTTGCTGAGTTTTCCGCGGCATCACTTGTACCTTATAACGAAAGGTGGACTTTCCTTGTTTGTTACAACTCTCCATCACGTTGTAAAACTGAACCTCGTAAAAAACGAGTCTGCAGTCAGCGCTCAGTGAAGGATGCTGGCCGGGGCTCCCGCATAGGCGCAGGAGCAACGAAAATTATCCAAGCTGTGGGAGGGGGGGGGGGGAGGGGGTTGGAATAGCCATTTCGATACCTTCTTCCCAGTCACAGACAACGGGATGAATGCTCAATTTAATACGGTTCAGGGCCCACCCAATCCCTGGTACCCGCGCCCCTGTGTAGGCATATTCCTTTTCCCGTGCCGATCGTATTTTAACGGCTTCGCTAAAGATAAGCCCGCGAAATACCCCATGGTTAGCGGCGAATGCTTGCAAAGTACATCGCCACATTCGCATTAGGTTCTACTTCATCGGTTCGCAGGCCATATGCGCCTGCCGCTAACAGTTTAAGCATTATCTGTACGAGGATTCCCGATGCTCCGGCTACCCGCTGCGTTACACCCTGCGGCTGGCAACCGCGCCGCGTTGAAATCATGACACCAGTGACGTCACTACCATGTTCAAGGCATGCGACAACCCGCCTTATGACATAGCCCACGCACGGCATCCTCCTGGGCCACCCTAACTTGTAGACTGAAACGCGACAAGCCCACGCCATTGCATATCTGTCTGTGACTAATGAAAACCATTTCCAGCACCTTTTCCATCGTCTAAAAGTTGGGAAACTTTTTAGTGCAGAGCGCAATTCACAGGCTAGTCCCAAATTACTACCCTCAGCTTAGGTACTAGTCGAAGATGGGGGGCTTCCAAGGAGTCATGGTTACGAAGCTTTAGGTTTAGAGGATTAAAGCGATTTGAATCCGGTTTCACATTTCGGCACAACTTCCTTCCTCAATTTTCAATACAGCAAACAACTTCAAATATATGCCACTCGCAGGGTCCAGCTACATTTTCAAAAATCACTTCCTGACCTCAACCATTTGGCGAAACATATGATCCAAGGGTGGTGACTTGGGCTTTGTTGGCACATATGCCCCTTATATAACCGCATCCTGCTCAAGCCGCACACGGCGTTTTAAAGGCGCCCCAGCTGTGTATGACCCTCCTGGACGCTGGGCCTCGAACGCACATCAACGAAGCCGGCGGACCTACCGAGACCCTTTTTTTGCTTACCCGGTGCTTGCAGAGAATGCCGGTAGGATTTCAGCTCCGGGATGCGGCGGATGTTGTAGAGCGACACCAGAGTACGTTTATTGGGTCCTCGTGACACGTGCCAATGCGCTCAAGTCATCGTCACAGCTGAAGAAAGCCACGAAACCCCGGGCTGTGATGATTCGGGACATTTCAATATCCGGAGCCACGGCAACGCGCCGAAATGGACGCTAGGCTGTTCAGCTCTTCCACTGTGTGCGAAATGCAAATGCGTTCCCGTAGCGAGAGGTTACATCTCAAATGAAGCATCATAAAACAAAAACCACAGAGATTATCAGCTCCAGCTGTCACCACCAGCTGAACGTTGTCTATTGGTACAATACCAGTGTGCTATGAAACAAATAACAAGCATGCACAACGGGGATAATTTCTCATTTAACTAACCACTTGAGAACGAACGAACCCTGGCCCTCCACTCGTGACACACAATCAAACAGCACACACGCTACAACGTGTGTTACTATTCAATTTCACGCGTGCTAGAATTTTGAAGAAAACTTAGAGGCGTCTCGTCCCAAAATCATAAGAGAAGACCACTTGGAAACACAATAAACTGGCGCCTGCGACCAAAGTATTCCTGCAAAAGCTATTCGATTGGGCTCCTGACCTCAGCGAACAAAAGCGCATCGTTTCCACGTAATCAACTTTTGAACAAGTCAACAAATAACGCACGATATTGGACATGCAAGGCCATCTCGTACGCGAAGCAGTTTGCTCGTCGTAATCAATTCAACACAATACGAGCTTGCAAAATTTTTGGCAGCGGGGTTCTATCCTTTGAGACAAAAGCCAATCATATACTCGTACAGATAGCGTCGCTATACCCATCCCATCGTACCCCGTCTCCCCGCCAGCTTCAACTGCTTACATTTTCCATGACGTTCTAGCTCACACATGAACACCAGCCATTGTACGACTGAACGCCATCGGCGGCCCTCAGTCAGCCTGAGCGTCCGTTGCGGCTGGAGTCGGCGGCTGCGAAGAGGCCGTCTCCAGGGTTTCGGTGTTCGTGGAGTGAGCGGACGAGACCACGAGACCGTTCCACCCATTGGGATAGCGTTATTGAACAGTAGCGGAGGCGAGATAGCGCTGACCAGTGTGTTTGGCACCAGCCGCACGCTCTCCACTGCCCGGGGATAACGTTACGTACGTTATCCACTGTATGAGGCGGACAGAGGAGCACTCCCGCCCACCGCGGCAGAGGCCACCGATGAACGGCGGCACGCAGTGGCGACGACTCGCCAGAGCAGGCCCGGCGCACCACCGCCACAGAGACAAACCAGCAGTGTGGCGGCGGATCAGCTGTGACCACGTAGGTGACATGACCATCTGCAGGCTTGCGGTTGTCAGGTCTTTCTACGAGTATGACAGGAGTCGGGTGGAGGTGAAGAGGGTGTGCAGACAGTCGACAAACGTGCAGGGGGCTGCTTCGAGACGGGCGCGCGCCTCCTGCGAGCCCAGGCCCTCCACCAAGTGGTACAGGTCGGCGAAATACTGAAACACACGATATGCGCTGCTTAGCGTTCCGCCATCTCTTAACACGTCCGCGCGTAAGAGCGCCCGTCTTCTGATCCACTCACCCGTGGCGAGGTGGCTTCGAGTCGCTTTTAGGAGCGCATTAATCGCCCTTGACAGCTATGATCTGTGGCTGGGGGCAGCGGCTACCCTGCAGGTCAGGTGAAATCAAAGGGCAGAAAAGCCTTGCCGAGCATTACGGCACGTTAAAATTACGCCACCACATTCTGCTGTTAACCCAGAATTTCACGATCTGGTGGTACGTGCCTAAGCCGTACAACAAGTACTGCTCAGCGTTCCATTACAAAATTCAATCAGATCACTCTAAAAAAAAAAAACACTGTTGGAGGCGAAATGCTGAATATTCACACTGGCGACGCGTAAACAATGGAAAAGGTAAAAGAAGACATGGAAATTCGCTTGGGAAATAAAAGACCTTACTGTTCGGCACATCGAAGCTCGACGAAACACCGCATCAGCTGCGGTCGGCCCACTACTGTCATCACACAAAACACACAGCCTGTGTCCGAAATTGGCGGAAACAAACGGGCGTGCCAGCAAAATGACGAAACCCAAAAGCCTCTCTCAGCCGCTGGTGATTCCCAGTTGCTACATGGTGACGTTCATCGCAGGTATGATGCTTTCACTGAAGTTTCTAATTCACAGCTGGGAAAATAATCACGTTTTTTCTCCGTACTCCGCCTGTGAGGACCGCATTGTGCAGCCGGTTATCCAGTGGATGATAATTTGCACCTGACAAGGCACCGAAAAACTTATATTCCGATGAGACGTTCACAAGGGCGGCACAATACTGTCCTTCACAGCCGGATTGTGTAAAAGAAAAGAAGACAGCGCTTGGTTGAAGTTAATGTCAATGCTATGTATATGTCAATGTTAATGTTAATGTCAATGCTAATGTATAGTATAGTAAACAATACTGACATCAAATATTATGAAAACAAATACGACTTCCACCATCAGCGCACCGGGACGGTAGCCAATCACAGAACAGGTGCAAGGCCGAGCTGGCCACAGTGTGCTGCGGTGAGGCCCCGGTACAGCCGACGGGACGCAATTTTCCATAAATCAAAACCTCAGCGTAGGTTGGATCTGTTGGATTGGAACATTTCGTACACTTTATGGAAATGAGCCATTCCACGATTCCAACTCAATGGATCCAACATGCATTGAGGCTTTGATTCATGGGAAACTATGCTCCGCCAGCTGTGTCAAGTCCTCATCGCAATGCAATGCGACCAATTGGGCGTTTTACCTGTTCTATGATTGGGTACCGTCCCGGGGCGCCGATGGTGGATGTGACATTTGAAGTGATCTAGTATTTATATCATGTGCTGTTTTCTCCACGCCTCCATGCCTCCTATGTGTGCATTCAAAACCACTCGTATGAAGCACAAATACAAACCCTCATGGATTAGTATTGTTTTCAGCTTGCGTGAGTGATCGTGCGTGAGTTCTGCTCTTCCATGTCACATGAAATGGGGTTACCCGGCCGTCGTCATCCCCGTGCCTCTCCACGTTTGCACAATTCGGCCGATTGACGTCACCGGGAGTACATCTTCAGGGTCTTCTAAAAGGGGATGCCGGAAGTGTAGTGGTTAACGCGTCTGCGTTAACCACTGCGCGTCTGGGAAAACAGAGGTACGGGGTTCGATTCCCCGCGGTGCCCGCTCTTCCTGCCAGGGTGAGAGGCAGGCGACGCCATATAGCCTCAGCAGCTGAGTGCGTCGTAAAGCCCCAATGACATGACAGATGTCAGTCCACAACGCGCATGAGGTATGGCCTCAGGAGACTGCAACGCCGGGTATGGTTATATGAAAAAGTAACCGATCGTGCGGGAGAACTCTTATTTGACTCCATACTCTTTACTTTGAAAGTAGTACATTTCATTTGCCTTGTTATTTCCAACGTGTGTGTTCTGTAAAATCTGCTACACACTAACGTGTCAAAATGTTTGTGTAATATGTGCTACACAAGCTTGAAACACTCTATTAAGACAAAAATATACGAACATGAAGACAGCATCCCGTGAATTCAACGGATTGTTGCAATATGACTTAATTCTCCCGTTTGGCGTTTACCACAGCGGCCCTTTTCGAGGCGCACTTTGGCTGGAGAATGGGAGCATCATATGATCCATGTGACGCACTGGTTCAAATCTCAACTAACCAACTTTTTGGTAGCAGGTCCGTTGTCCTTTGGGCCAATCAGAATTTTTTTATTTGCACCAGTAGAGCCAGGGCAACAGAACGCTGGGTACTCCAAAGTTTTGACTAGTAGGCATCAAAACGTACTGAAAGCATACCAGAATCGCGATTATGATCAGATTTAGGATGTTGTGCCAAAAGTTGGCAGCGCTGTGCTACCGGCATCTTTGGTGTGTTTGTGGCGATTAAGTGTAATCGTGATTGTCAGTTGCAAGATGCTTGAGGTGCAGTGTGGTGGTCGGACTGGGGGTGCAGAATCAGATGGCTTTAAAGTAATTTTACATGCATCCAGGTTAATCTGATGCATAATGTTCTTTGCCGAGTCACATTATGTCTCAATTAACACCTCATGACTCACTTTAAGCATTCTACATCATAACTGATCATGTAATGACTCAGGTACTACACAGCTAGTCAGTTATGAACACGTGACATATGTTACCGGCTGTTGAGCATTGCATGATACGTGACTGGTCGAGGGTGCTCTCAGGCATATTAATGTTGGAGCTGAGAACCTTGTCATCTTTCGATATAGGTACACTTTGATTATTGTTGTGTGATTGGCATTTGAATATTCAACATATGCAAAAAACAAAACCTTACACAATATTCATAAAGGCGTTACCGCCCACAAAATAAGTCAATCACTAACTATCTTAATTTAGCATTGTTGGACGATGACACTAGAACAGTTGATTAATAAGTAAATAGCAATTTAAGATAACAGAGATGTCTGCTATGATGCTATGTCGTGCGCGCATCTGTTGTCATATTTTACCAAAAGAATTATCAGCTTGAACTGCATCCACACCATATGGTGCGTTGACCTACGGCGGCCAACTTCGTTTGGAGCTCCAAGAAACATGCCTCTGGTCTGTCGCGCGTGGATGAGAATTGCTTGTCCTGACCAGGGCAGGATGTGGCCATTAGCTCTTCGATAATGGATCTTGCATAGTCAATGAGTTGTTTTCCACTGGTGCCATCACCTGCCACTGCCCGTTGCCCCCTGCCCACCTTTTCTTCCCACCGGTTGGGCAGGGAAGCCAGGCCAGCTGTGCACGGCAGCCGTGGGGACATACGCCGAATGGCCAGCGCATACCTTTTCGGGCGATCCTATCAGCTGATGAAAAACCATAGATCAGGCTGGCCTGCCGTGCCTCGCGCGGCCCCGGAGCTGCTGTCGCCGGGACGCACGAGTCACAAACACCTCCCCCGCACCACCACGCATGTGGTGGGGACGGCTGACATTCGCCGGCCTGACAGACGCACCTGCCGCTGATACTCGCAGAAGGGCCGGGCTGGCGGGGGCAGCGGCGCCACTTCTGCGCTGCTACCGGGCGCCACTCTCAAGCGGCTGTCCGAGACAGTGGTGTCCGACGGACGCTGTTCGGTCGCGCTGCCGCCCGACACGCCACCCGGACATACTGCTTGTTAGCCGAATCTGACGGCGGGCTCGTGCGCCTCCACCAGCCCTGGCTTCTTTATTTAGCTTGTCGTTGGATCCTCAGCCGTAGGCTTCTTTTTATTTGCATGTGGGATGGTCTCGAAGACAAAGTGCTGCAGAGTTTGTATTCAATAGCGCACAGCCATTCGGAATGGAACATCACACATGCATGGTCCGGAAGCTTGTTATGTGAATTCAGCACACCAGAACCAAGCCAGAAGTACCTAGCGAACCACCCAGATACGACTCTGTCTGTAGCCAGTTTCTTACGGCAAAAATGCATTCTTAACACACACCCAGGCGTCCAGCTGAATACTCTTCGTTCGGGTGTGGGGGGGGGGGGGGTAATTTGACACCCCCTGATGTCTCAAAACCTAAGACAGCTAGACACCAAATTCACAGGGTAGATTGAGCTGTACGTTAACTCACTTGTCGAAATTTTGAGGTTCCTAGGTCATGACCTTGAGATCAAATAAGATCCAACAAGGTCAAACTCCAAATTGGTGTCTCAAGTGCTCCCAGGTCTTATGAAACCGCCGTGAAGCTATATACCTGTTCTAAGCGAAAGGACAATGAGGCTACTGGCATGTATTGATCTTCAAAGAGGTGTCAGGGACTACGACAGGAAGTATGTTCCTAAACATAGAGTGTTGATCGGGGTCGTTTGAGGTCAGTGACCTACTCCGATCTTTAAAAAGTCCATGAAACATGTCTGTTGCGGTCAACATCATCAATACTAGCACATAAATCCCAGCTTTCGAGTAAAAAGCAGGTTAATTTTGACCTCATTCTGGCCTTTATATCCGAACATAGGTTAATGGAATTGGTTGTGCTTCTAAATATAATTTGTTTACTAGCTAGGCAACTATTTCAGATATGAATGGTTGTGCTCCTAAAATAATTGTTTTATAAGCTAAGAGACTATCCCAGACATGAATGGCTTCATTTAACACCCCGTAGTTACATCACATTGGAATGCCCCTAGAAATGTCATTCGCTGATCTGCTACTCAATGCTCTACAGCTGCGCAAAGTTTGGCGCGGTTTCGCCACGCCGTTAGGAATTTTTTCGGGGAAAACCTTCGGGGGAGGGTCAAGTTGACCCCCGCCCCCACCCGACCGCGTGTTAAGCTCATTATTAATGTGTAGTTTAGATTCTACCACATCATCTGGTCGTTGCCCATGGACCTTCAGCTTTAAAATGCCGACATCGTATTTCAATGTCAAAAACCTGACCTATCAATCTGCGTTGGTGCGCCAAAATCTGTTGACAGACGCGACAACTGTGCTGGATCAAGATCATTTCAAAAA